TTTGCAGAACCAACTGAACGACCTCAGAATCGCGATGAAATTGTGAAGATGACGATGCAGGCTTTGAATCAGTACTTGGAGGATGTCTGTGTGTACTTCTATTGGCGCAAAAAGTTTGTTTACATTTTCTCAGAAATTTGAATACAATTATCAAAGAGAAGCAAATTTGAATATTTTTTTATGGCTTTCTGAGATGACTTTTCAGAACAAAGAGTTCACTTTCTAGTGCAAGAGTGTTCATTAATACTATGGACATCTCGGATACTTTATTTTCATCAATTATGTTAGCGGTGACTGGAGTTTTGAAAAACTAATTGGTTACTGAAAGGAAGAGTTGTAGTAGTGAAGATTGTTGATCAGACAATATCTTATCGTTGTTTTCCAGAGAGTTGTTGAACTTGAATGAGTTGGATCAGTGGCATGAGATGAACGAGAAACAGAAGAGCGTTGAAAATGACATCGCCGATATGAAGCGTATATATGAAGAATCAAAACACATCGCTAAACCATACGTTAGTTTTGTTACATTTTTTGTTTAATTGGTTCAGAATGTTTACGATAACGGTGTATGTCCTNTGAATAATTCGGGAGCAAAACAAGCATCTCGATAATTCTGGTCGCATTTCTCCTCATTGTTAGTGCTTGAGAATTTCGGTTAGTTTCAATGCGGGGATTGAACTACTTGGTACTTACAGTTTTGATTCTGATCACGGATGTTGTAACATTGTCAGTCACTTGTGAATTAATTTAGGAAGAATATTTTCGATATCATATGCACGAAATTGCTCGTTTGCATTTACTGTCAATACAAATTCGTGAAGAATTATTGTCAACTGGGTACGTTTTATCTGTTTTGTTTCGTCCATTGACAAAGTTGAGCGCTGGATACTGTGATCAATTTGGTGTCACAGTGATTGAGAAATTGCACTAGAGTCATGAAAAAAAATCATAACTATCATTCGATTATTTCTGCAAAAGTTAACATTTTCAGAGTAAAATAAGAAATAACTTTGAAAGGAATGATAACATTTAGTAATGACTAGCTAGCATACTTTTGTCGCACAATTCTCGTTTGTAATGTGCACCATTGATTCGACATGATTCTAGAGTATCGAGCAGAACTGAAAAGAAAAAACTGAATGACATGAAACGAAGAGCAGAGAAAGCGCTTCGATTGAGTGCACCAGTGGAATCGAGCGATGTTGTTGAGAAGAGGCACACCGATGGAGAGCGTTTGCGACCAGAAAAGTGTTCGCGATTCGCACTCGTCACTGCTGCCGAAGGTTACAACGTATACTTATTGAACGTTTAAAGATAGTAACAATGCAATAGTTGTTTCGAGTGTTCAGCTGAATGCGAAGGCCACAGTGTTTTGAGTTTTCAGTGCTGTTTTGATCGTTAATCACTGGCTAGTTAAACTAATTGGTCATTTCGGCTTCGTATATTTCATTATTTGATCTTCAAAATTTCCAGATGAACGTTCATTGCGTAACAATTGCATAGAGGATAGTGTACAGAGTGTTGCAAATAATTCCTTTGGAAATCGTCGTCCAATGAGGCTTATTACGTCAACGATAACGGATGGTAAAAATTTGCTTTACGTAATTTGTTAAAATTTGTGTATTTTTGATGGCTTTCTTTTCTTTCATTTCAGTTATTGTAAATTTCAGAACGTTTATCTCATTATAAGCTATATTTCATTCGCTTTTTTTTCGAAATTGTAGACAAAGCTGATGTTAACAGCTTAAACTACTGTGCAATAGCTACCATCACTCATCCAAAGGTTCCTTGTTGTTGATTTAGTCATCACACTCAAAAGTGATCGTAATATCAATATTCTCAGGATCAATGGGAATGAATGAAAATCGTGTGACGACATTACGCGGTGAATTGAAGCAAAAGCGAGAAGAAGCGAATGTGCTGAGAGAAAATTTTGATCGTAAGCTTCATAGCGATGGTGGGTGCGGTGTAAACTCCGAACACGGGGAACAGGATTTTTTAACGAGGTGCGTTCAAAATCATCCACTGCTAAAAGTCACTTGTAATTTCTCTAGTGAGAGGTTTCGTCATTCATCTTTTCCGAAAACTGTGAGTACGTGATGTGCGTTAAAGAGCTGAGCAATGAGTATGATATAAAAAGTGTGGTATAAGATAATGTATTTCAGCGCTGAAAATTCAGTTTTGGAACAGATAAAAGCTCATGAGAGTTACATAAAGCAAACCTCTGATCACATCGCTTATTTGGATCAACTGCAGATCGATCAAACATCTATTGATTCTCATTCGAATTTACTCGTTCAGAGTTTGCCTTCTCCTTCATCACAATATGGTAACATAAATTGATTTGTTCTACTCATTTCTTCCACATTATCCAATTTATTCTAAATGTGTTTTGTTTTCAAATGCATTCCTGATGTAGATCTATGGAAGGTTAGTTCACTTTGGTTTTATGTGGTATTGCATCAGTGAAAACCCACTGGTGATTATACGATAACGTCGTAACCAATTGATAATCTCGATTGCTTGATTTGTCCACGAATGACCGATTCATTGACAATACTATTGCATGTCAGTTCTTTGTTTGGTTCATTTCATTTCATGCTGTCTTTTCATTTTAAGATGCAACCAAGTCAACGTCGGTAACAACCTCGATTGAAACGCCAACCTCAGCTCTACTATCAGACGTCAATGAAGTCATCAACGGGCGAAGCCGATCGTGTGACGATGATTCAATGAATGATGTGATGTTGACTTCACAATCTTCAACGCTTGTTCCCGAATCCGATTATGCCTCCGAAATTGAGCACAGAAAAACTTCATTCGAGGAACATCCAAAGTCTGAAGGTGCAATTCATCATCAGCAAGACGTGGATGCAACCCCTATGAAATCTCCTCATAGTTCAGTGCATGTTCAAGAACCAGTAAACGAAATGAGAATGTCTCCAGGAGAAATATCTTCGGCAGCATTTCGGCCAGATGTAGTGAAGATGAATCAGCACGAACACATGGTGGATGCGAACTTGAGTGTTGATGGAACGAGCGATGAAAGTTGTGACATTTCTGAATATAATTTAAGTCAGCTAGATGAAACTGTAAACACGAGGTCGGTTATGGAAAGCTTCGAGAAACTTCACATCAGTGCGCACAATGATGCTCAAAAAGAAGAATCACACATCGAACATGTGAATTCAGTCGGCCTCGACGAAGCTGCAGCATTCTCAGAAGGAACATCAAAACCGTCACAAATTTTTCACGATCAAGCATCGATCGATCAAGAGTTATCGCCGAATGATCATTCATCACCATTCGTTCTGAAGGATAGTGATATGCAGTCAGTGAAGAACGAGTCGCACGAAGACAATAACTACTCCCCCGAATTATCCACTAAAATGGAATCATTTGTTCCGAGGCTTAATCTTGACGAACTTGATACGAAAGATTTGCCACCTGAACAGTTACGTTTCGAACAAGAGGAAGGTGAACCACTGATAGCAGATAACGAAGAACAAGAGAGAAGTGAACAGGACGAAAAGCGGACTTCTGAAGAGATATCTGCTCATTCAGAGAGCAAAATTATCGAAAAAGAAACAACGCATCCAGATGCTTTAGCGCCATCTTCCAAGAACTTGCCTGAACGAGAGACTTCACCAGTGGATGAGTCCGAAACTGATGATAAGTCTTTGGTCTTACATTTACCAGACAAAGATCAGCTTATAGAAACGAACAACAGCTGTGAAGAAATCCTCGGGGAAGTTCCTTCAGCAGTGGAAGAGTATGATGCAACTGTGTGCTCTGATGAGGTAGAAGATGAACGTGTTGTCGAAAATAATGCATCGAAGGTAGATGGTAATGCTCAAAGTGAAACATCAGAAGATGCGGACTCTGAATGTTTTTTCACCGATGCAGCATCGTCTCATCAGGTGTCACTTGGGTCATCGCAGGACTTCGCTTCGATGAAACCACAGGACATTCTCAACGAAGACGACATTTCGGCGGGAGGTATAACATTTGTTGAACATTCATGGTTTCCACTTGCTTCCATGTGTGCTTCTTAAGTTTTTATTCCTCTCCTTCAAAGTGATGTCGTTTTTTGTATGTTGAA